CGGAGTCAACAGTGAACAACGTACACTGCAAGTTTACAGTTTACCATGCTCCGGACAAACCCTTTACATTTCTCCTTAAAAGAATTCTCAAGTCACTATAGGAGGAAAAGTATCATCATGAGCTACGTTTTACAAACGAAGACAAAGAAAATAGGGAGTAAATGATCTTCTTAAAAATTCACAAATAAATAGTCACGAGGCATAAGAGATATTGATTCTGTCACCTAGAAGTCGTCCGGAGTAGTTTACTGTTCCACACTCCGTGATCCCGGACATCAGTCTAGGCCCATAAGAAGGGGCCTTCGGCCCCATCCCCAACCCCTATTCCGGGCACTCGGCGTTTCAAATCGGCTGGTTGCACGCACGTTCGGAAGGAGCAAGGGAGTCAGTTCTGAGGATCGAAAATGTTAAGACCCACATGTTTCCAGTATCGGTACTCACCTCGTTATTGAGATTTAGAGTTTCTGGCTGAGCCATGATGGGTAAAGGATGCGATTCTAAAAACTCAACGCTCTCCGCCAGACTGTGAATGTGTCGGCGAGACTGCGCCTGCGTTGCCACGCCCCCCTCAACGGTGGCCTCATTGGCCCGAAATTCCTTTACCGAATTTAGGCGCGTTTGTTTTGCGGTTTCGCTTGGCTGAGGTGGAAAAAGAAATAATAACTTCTGGCACTAGGGACGCCCCAAATAGGCGTTGTGAGAGAATTTTGGAGCTTGTGGCGTGGCGGGAACGGTACAGGCTGTTAGTTGGCATTCTGGTGGTATTTAATATGCTGATTTAATGACACTCGGTTGTAGGCTGCCGGTGGCTTGTTTGAAGTTTGATTTTTGCCTCACAACAAGAGGGAAAGAACTTTTATGTAAGGATCAAGCACTTGAGTCATCGATTTTTTTTTTCCTTTCTGCAATTAACTTATTTTTAAAATTATGTTTCACACTTTGCTTCATTGATATTATGCCAACCATGTATAATGCCGTTGGGGACCCAAGGAGGGAAAGAGTGGGAGGGGTGAGGAGGGGTAGGAGGGAATCACAGGGTCACACAGTTTGATGTGAAAAGGTGGGCTAATAGTGAGCATAGTTCAATGGTGATTAATTTTATAAAACAATGTGTGGGAATGATTTTATGAAACAATGTCAATAGAGTAATCGATTTTTGTTCAGGTTTTTTAATCTAGCGTTTGTGAAAAATTCCTTGCCTTTCTAACAAGTACCCTTTTGTTTATTCATCCTCAAAGCTTTTGTGTTCTAGCCTCAGGAAATATGAGGGAGTAAATCTGATTAGATAATCTCGTAATTAGATAAGGAGCACTGGTGGCATAATGGCAAGAAGCTGCACTGCAATTCCGAAGTTTCTCGGTTCAAGTCCATCAGCTGCTCCCCAGGAGAAAGATGAGAAGTCTCCTCCCTTGCTATTAACTGCCCCTGAAAATAATCTAGATTATCAGAGAGCACTGGTGGTCTGGAGGTGAGAAGCTGCACATCAATACTAAAGGCACTTGTTTCTAATCCACCAGTTTTTGCATGTTTATATCTACTTGGCAGCATCAGGATGGATGGTGAAGAGATTGAGATTGTACACAGCTTTAGTTTGCTTGGCTCTGTAGTTAACAGTCTTGGCACCAGCAGCCAGGAAATTAAAAGGCGCATTGCCATGGGAAAGTCTGCTGTTAGGGACCTCTCCAAAGTACTGAAGAGTAATGGTGTCTTTCTGGAGACTAAGGTTCATCTGATACAGGCTATGGTCTTTGCAATCACTTGTTATGCATCAGAGAGTTGGACAATGACCAAGGAGAATAGAAGGAGAATTGATGCCTTTGAGCTGTGGTGCTGGAGAAGAGTATTGAGAATACCATGGACTGCTAGGAAAACAAACAGATTTGTCCTGGAACGGGTTAAACTGGGTGGTTCCTTGGAGGCAAGGATTCTGAGGCGCCATCTAACATACTTTGGACATGTTGTGAGGAGAGACCAGTCCTTGGAGAGGGACATCATGCTTGGAAGGGTGGAGGGACAGTGCAGGAGAGGAAGGCCCTCTATGAGGTGGATTGATTCAGTGACTGGGATAATTGGGATGGGAGTGTCAGAGAGTGTGATTGGCACAAGACAGAGCGGAGTTTAGGGCTATTGTACATAGGGTCACTATGAGTCGCAAGCGACTTGAGGGCATATAACAACAACAACAACAACAACATATCTACTTGATGTGCCGTCAAGTCGCCTGCGACTCACAGTAACCCAATATACAATAGCTCTGAAGCCTGCACTGTCCTGAGCAAATCTCACTGAGTCTGATATTGCGCTAGTTTTCTATATCAATACATCTCGTCAGGGATTTTCCTCTCCTGTGCTGTCTCTCCACCCTTACAAGTGTGATTTTCTTCTCCAAGGATTGGTTGGTCTGTCCTAGACACATTCACCAAAGTAGTATGTGAGATGGAACTTCAAAAGCCTAGCCTGCAAGGAGAAACTTGGTTTCACACTCTCCTAGACAGACCTGTTTGTTTTCTTGGCAGTCCATGGTATGTTCAAGTTCTTCTACAGCACCACAACTCAAAGACATCGATTTTTCTTTCATTCTTAGTCGTTATCCTGCTTTCTGATGCAGATAAGTAATTGTGAAGACCATGGGCTGGATCAGGCACACTTTAGTCTCTAGGCTGACATTGTTGCTTCTCAGTAGTTCCTAATAGATGGAAATGAATTAAAGTGTAATGTGTATTACCAAAAGATTGCTTTTAATGGAAATGGACTCAACTTTTATTTTTTTAAAAAACAATTTAAACTGTTCTTTGTGATAGTAAAGTCTAATCACCTCCTACTCATAGAGATCCTATGAACAACTGATCTCTTTGCCTAATCCTACACCATGATAAAGTGAAGAGGACTTGGGAGCACTAGCTGCAAAAGAGCAAAGAATACAGCTATCAATATGGATTGCAACTTAACTTCAAGAAAATGAAAATTCTCAGCTCTAAACCAATAGGCAACATATAAATAGATGGAGAAAAGACTGAAATAAATGGTCGACAACTTCATCTTACTTGGATCCACAATCAACACCCTTGGTACCAGCAGTCAGTAGATAAGGTGACATATTTCACTTGGTAAGTCTGCAGTCAGGAATCTCTCTGAATTATTGAGGGGCAATAATGTCACTTTGATAAACAAGGTTCGTGTGGGGGCTACGGTCTTTACAGCTGCTTGCTATGCGTCCAACAGCTGGACAATGAATAAGAATGAAGAAGAATTTATATCTTTGAGATGTGATAGTAGAGAAGAATACTGAATATTCCATGGACTGAAAAAACAAAAAGAAGTCTTGGGGGAAATGCAGCCAGAGTTCTCCTTGGAGGCAATGATAATTTTTTTTTTTTTCGTGTACTTTGGACATTTGCTGTGAGAGACTAGTCCATGAAGAGGGACATCATGCATGGAAAGCTGGAGGGACAGTGAAGGAAAGGAAGACTCTCAACCAGGTGGATTAACGCTGTGACTGTTGTAATAGGCTCAAGTATGTCAGAGATTGTGAGATGGCACAGGATAGGACAGGCTTCAGATCTGTTAATAGAGTTGCTACAGATCATCTAGGAGGCTAGGCTGTATGAGTTGGACTGTGACAGCAGCCAGGAAATTAAAAGGCGCATTGCCATGGGAAAGTCTGCTGTTAGGGACCTCTCCAAAGTACTGAAGAGCAATGACTTCACTCTGGAGACTAAGGCACACCTAATCCAGGCCAGTCTTCGCGATAGCTTGCTATATGTCACAGAGCTGGACAATGACTAGGGATGATAGAAAGAAAATGGATGATTTTGAGCTATGGTGCTGGAGAATAGTGTTGAATATACCATGAACTTTCAGGAGAACATTTAGTTTCATCCTGGAGAGGGTGAAGTCAGGCTGCTGCTTGGAAGCAAGGATTCTGAGGCTTCAGCTGACATACTTTGGTCCTTGTAGAGGGATTTCATGCTTGGAAGGGTGAAGGGTCAGAGAAGGAGAGGGAGACCATCGATGACATGGATTGATATAGTGGCTGGGGTAATGAGAGAGACAGTAATGTTGGCCCAGGATAGAGTCGTTTTCAGGGTTATTGTATATAGGATCATTATGAGTCTCAAGGTCGTTATGAGTCACAAGTGACTACCATTCATAACACCAACAATGGATAGATATACTCAACTGGATGACACCTAACAGCAAAAGCACCATTTTCATAAACTCTGTCATGCTCAAGAACATAGTTATAGACACTGTCAGTTCAACTTGCTAAGGGTCTTTTTTCTCTTTCTCTGACTTCCACCATTCTCAGAATGATGTTTATCTTAAATAACTGGGTTCTTTAAAAAATATGCTCAATGTAAGTGGGACAAAATTTCATTCTTGCCGCTCAGGAACATGCTTGTCGCACTTCCTTCAAGGTCAACTTGCTCTTTTGGTGGTCCAAAAGTACTCAGTACTCTTCCCCAACACCACAACTCAAAGATGTCAGTTCTGTCATCCTTACTCATTTTCCACCTTTCAGACTTAGGAAGCGATTGAAAACACAATTATTTGGATGAGGTACACCTTGGTCTTTAAGCATCCCATCTATTTAGTAATCTGGAGAGGTCATTGACAGCAAATTTTGCCATTGCCACCACTCTTGATTGCTTGACTGCTTAGTACTATGGGTATTGATTATGGACCTGTTGTTGTTATGTGCCATCAAGTCGCTTGCGAC